CCCGTATCGCATAATCTAAGATCTCTCATCCCAGGACGCACCGTATCAGGCACTAAGGAAGCCCCTAATCCAAATGTCACAGTCGGACTGCATCCTGAGATCAACTGTCAACATCGAAGTCGTCCTGGCCCAGCTGCCCTTGACACCGAGCACCCCACACACCCGTGGATCCAAGTCGCCTGGATACCCGGTCACTGCGGGATCCAGGGTAACGTCGAAGCTGACCACCTCGCATCTTCAGGTCGACAAATGAGCAAATTAACAAGAAAAGTTCCAGGCCCGGATCTGAAAACCTGGCTTTCCAAAATTACATGGGAGTCTTGGAGGCAGGACTGGCTGGACTCACGAAATCTGCTCATCCGTAAAATTAAAGACGTCGCTGGGAGAACCTACCTGAACACCGCTCTCAAGTGGTGATCTCCAGGCTTAGGTCAGGACACACCCGTATCTCACACAACATAACGGGAAACGGCGAATTCCACCGACCCTGTCCACTGTGCCACAGCCCGCAATATCAAGGAGCTAGAAACCTGTTCGACATCCCCGGCAGCATCCGAGACGCCTTCAGTGGTGATTCTTGCAGCTCAGCGGCACTACTGGCTTTCCTCTGCGAGGCAGGCCTGTTCTCCCAAATATGACTACAGCCGACCGAGACATTACCGCCGAAAGCGGTTTTATCTGGTGAGAACAATTTTACTCCGGTAATGTCTGTCGCTTCAACATCAACCTCTTTCCAATCGGTCACTCCTGGGTGCATTACGGAAGCAATTGTCGAAAGCGATCATGTTCACATGGATTCCACTCAAAATCACCATTCTTGTATGAAAGGACGGATACCATCAGTGTTCATCGAGCTACCGGAATGCATGTCTGCAAGCGTCATGGAAGCCCTTAATCCCATCCTGCCAGCGACCTCCAGACATTCCGGTCCTGTGGACGAGCGTGGAGAAGGGGTCTTCCAAACCGTCATCGCAGGCAAGTATTCAAGTAACGTCTACCATTTCTAGCCGTTCACTACGTCAACCCCCACTCAGCGGTGTCATACGGAAGCCAATCAGTGACAACTCTTCATCAGTGTTCGTTGAGCCACCGGAATGCACGCCTGCAAGCTTCATGGAAGCCCCTAAAGCCCTAAAGTCGAGCCATTGCTGCCAGTGCCCTGCAGCTATCCCGGTCCTGTGTATGAGTGCGGGGAAGGGGCCTTCCAAGCCACCATCGCAGGCAGGTATGCACACGTTTCAAACAGTTTACTTCTTGTGACATTGGTCGATTCCAGTTGCAGCTTATCAACGAATGTGGGATTATATGGCAACGAGCGCACCACGGAAGCTCGATGTCGGATGTCGTCTGAACGCTCATTTTCGGTATACTACCAGGATGTTAGAGGCCTGCGTACCACAATATCCCGTCTTCGCTTGCTTCTATCGAGCTGTGATTACGATGTTCTCGTGTTCACTGAAACTTGGCTTAGATTCGATATTAACAGCGCAGAAATTTCGTCCGAGAATACCATATTCTAATGCAACCGTAGCACATCGACCAGTATTCACTCACAGGGAGGTGTGTGAAATTCGGACACCGCTCGCTCTACAACATTGCCATTTATCTTCCTTTTCCCTCGACCTGTTTTACGCTCATGTGAACGCAGTGTAGCTAATTTGGGAAAACTCTTCAACAGCTGATGTGATTCTGACACTAGGAGACTACAATGTTCCAAGTCTACGGTGGCAATCAGACGAAGACGTGAACGGCTTTATCCCGTCAAACGTTGCCTCACAGAAAATATGTTCACTTCTGGTTTGCGTCAGGTCAACTTGTGAATACTAACGGCAGACTCCTCGATCTTGTGTTTGTCAATCTACTGGAGCACTTTGGCATCATTGTACCCTCAACTCCACTTTTATCAATTGACGACCATCACGCACCATTTATCTTGCTTCTTGACGAAAGCTGTAATGGCACAATCACAACGGACAATGGGGGATGTGAGATTCAACTTTAATTTTCAGTCGTGTGATTGTGGTCGTTTGGATGACGTGCTCTCAAACATCGAATGGGATGCTCTACTGCGACAGGAAACATTGAACGAGTCTGTATGATAAGCTTTACGCAGTGCTTAGGGACCACGTACTTCAAAAGAGACAACGAGTTTCTTCAGTCTATTACAAACCATGGTGGACCTCTGAACTACGTCATCTCCGAAACGGCCTTAGGAAAGCACGCAGCCGTTTCTTGCTGATTAAGTCCAACAGTGAGCGGAACAACCCTCGGGAGGTGGAAACCACGTGCTACTTCTCTTATCCACCTACGAAAGTTACATGGCTAAGGTTAAATCAGATGTCAAGCAAAATCCTTAATGTTTCTGGACTTTTGTGAGAAGCCGAAAATCGGCAACTCGCATTCCAACAAACGTAAAATACCACGATAGCACCGCTGGCACTAATTCGGAAGCGACAAGCAAATCATCGCCTGTTTCTCGCTTCAACCGCTTTGCCCCTGTTGCTTCACACGACATAAATCTACCCGACATTCAGTTTTCCGTCATCGAAGTACCGAAGGCCATCGAAGAACTCGACGTTTATAAAGACCCAGAAATGGACGGTATACCACCCTTGCTGCTAAAGAATTGCTCCCCCGCACTTGCATCTCCCATAACATCTTTATTCAACCGTTCGCTGCATGACAGGATGTTCCCAGTGGTTTGGAAATCAGCTTCTATCATGCCGATCTACATATCCAGAAACGGCAATCGAGTCACGAACTATCGTGGTGTTTCTGTCGTGTGTTGGTTGCTTGAGCAAAATTTTCGAAAAACTGGTGCATAACGTCCTGTATAACGACGAATCTTCATTAATCTCCGACAGCCAATGTGTCCGCGAAGTCGAACATGGACGTCAAGTTGATTTGATTTATATCGATTTTGCTAAGGCCTTCGACACTGTACCACATATCTTGGTATACATGGGGTTTCCGGAATGGATCACGCAGTGGCTGTTTTCGTACCTGTCGGACAGAACTGGTTGTGCTGTAGTGAATGCGGCAAAATCCGAACCGTTCAACATCGAGTCCGGTGTACCCCAAGGAAGCGTTCTTGGGCCGCTGTTGTTCAACATCTTCGTGAACGACTTGTGTATAATGCTCTCTTCTTTTAAACTCTCGTATCATCACTTCAAGAGGACATAAACGTTATGCTCGTTTGGCGCAGCAATAATGGAATGCGCGTTAACAGAGACAAATGCAAAGTTATTTCATTTACGCGGCGCACCAGTTTAAGATGGAATCCGTTATACTGGAGCTAGTTCTATCGATTTGCGATCTGGGCGTAACTATTGACTCAAAATGTAAGTTTAACAAACATGTAGCTATTACAACCGCCAAAGCATTTTCTGCACTCGGATTTATTCGTCGACATGCTTCAGATTTTACTGATGTGTACGCCATCAAAACATTATATTGTTTGTTAGTGCGAAGTATCCTGGAGTATGCTGCTCCCGTATGGACATCATTCTAGGCGACGCAAATCTTAGCAGTTGAGCATGTGCAAAGGGAATCCATACGATTCGCGTCCCTGGAATGAGCCAGTAAATCTTCCATCTTACCCCGACCGATGCCGACGGATCAACTTGGAAAGTCTGTCAGCGAGACGAATTAAAATGCAGCATATGTTCGTGTTCGATGTCATCACAGGAGATATTGACTGTCCCGCACTTCTTGAGCAGATATCGATCAACATCCCTCCACGTCGCTACCGAAGTTCGCCTCTACTCACAGTTCCAAGCAGGAACAATGGTCACCACAATCCGCTTGATTCTTGCCTTCGAGCTTTTAATGAAGTTGACTAAAATTTGATTTTAACATGTCCAAAACTGTATGTTCACATAAAATCAGGAATCTAGTTTAGACAATAGTAGTAAGTAGTTCAGTCTGTGCGACTTAGTAGAAGGCGGTGATTATAAATAAATAAATTATTTAATCCTAGCAATTTGATAAATCATTGCATCGTGTTAGTTAATATTTTTATGAACAAATTCAAAAACAATCAGGTGTAAATTTCTTCCAGTGTATATGAAAAATTACAGCTTCCTTCACTTAAATTCACGTTCTTTACTACTGTGCTACTCCATAATAGCAAATTATTCATCTGGAACTATATTTTTTTTTAAAGTTGGTCGTGATTTGCATTTTTTCGACTATTGTGCATTTTTGGAATGGCTTTCTAAACTTAAAACTCACAGTATAGCATCAACTAGTAGCTTAGGGTGGCCCATTTTGTTTACCATATTTCACTTCTAACAACTGACGAAACCGTAATTTTCCTACGGGCAAATAAACTGTAGCTGCTGATCCAGCTAATAGTTTCACCAAAAATACGAGTGGGTGGCTGGCAAATCCAATGCCTTACACATTTGTTTGTTATTTGGCTTCCATTACCATCCGCGCGGATAGATTGAAAACAAACAAATTCGAGCTTAATACCACAACGTAACTAAACGAAGAAATCAATAAACCATTTTAAAATGATAAGAGACAAGCATTGAATCTAGCCGTATCAATCTCAGATCCACACGACCAACATCTCTGTACCAGCTCAGTATAGGAAATTCCAATAACGATTGTCATTCAATTCAACAAAAAAAAAACCCCCCTCTACTTATACAGCTGTTGTTTTGAATTTCTAAAAATAAAACTGGCATCCCTCCCCATCTCCACTCGGCGGCACTCTACCTTCCCCGCTTCCTCCCTCTCAACCAACCAACCCGTAAAACCCCTTCTGCTTGCGCTTCTACGGATGTTTATTGGCAAAGCATGACCTAATAACACGGCGAAGAGATTTTCACCGACCAGCCCACCCCCGGAATGCACTTCCCGTGTCCGCCACGGGTTCCACTCCTCTTCGAGCCAGGGAAAACTCCCACATTTCGACGCAATTCCACTGGAAAAACGGCTCCCAAATTCGATCACAGCCCCATTTATTAAGGGGAAGGCAGCAAAATATTTACTTCTCTGTCGCTGGCTCCGATTGCGTATCATCCAGCTGGACATGGCCATCGTTTTCGGCTACTGGCAGCTGCTTTCCGGGATCGATTTCACACTTCCGCCGACCGCGGGACACTCGAGCACAGTTTGAACACCGTTTTTACGACCGGATCGCGAGATTTTCGGCACAATTTTCGCACAATTTCGACGCGCAAACACTCTTCTTCATTCTGGACCGATGGTGATCATCACCTTTCGCAGCAGCAATTTTTGTGTGGTTCGTCGTCGCTTCGCCTTTTCGAAGCAGAAGCACATCAGGCACGTCTCGCTGTCTCGCTCGGGCGTTGGTTGTTGTGGGCCGGCTGCTGTCCTGTTCTCGCACACGATGATTATCCTGACGTTCCGGTTTTCAACCGCCTGGTGCGGCCTGAACCCATGCAGCAGAAAGCAGTGGAGTGACAGCAAGGGGGTGGCGTCGTTTGCAAGGTTTATTGGAAAATGAGGTAGACGGACTAATTTCTCGAGCATAAAAACAAAACAAAAATCCTGTTCACACACAGGGTACACTAAAAAAATATTGAAATCTACCCTCAAAAAATATTGAAATCTAAATAGTATAAAAGTAACGCTAAATAGCAACTCTCCGTACCGACGCAAAGGTCGGTATAAAGGGAGAGAATGCAAACTTAGTATAAAAATGGTTTATGCGTGCCATAGTATAAAATCGAAATATACTCACAATGCATAGATACGGTTTATTCAAGAGAATGTATTTGTCGCTTCTTTATTTCATTTATGGTAAATATTATTGTTTTCAAATGCAAATAAAAATTGTCTCAGGAAGCTTTTTTCATTAGTTTATTTTTTATTAATAATATTTAAAAAAATACTTACAATTTCGATGCTGCCCAGCAGATTACAGGCGCAGTAGAAATCCGCTGGGACAAAGCCCTTCACCAGCACGAAGCTCCGAAGGAAATCCAGATGTTCTTATTCCTGTCATTTTAGTAAACACTGATCGAATTCCACTCCGTTATTCGGACTTAGTATAATTTTGACGAAAATTTTAATCGAATCAATGTATAAATTTTGAAAAACCATAAAATGCATAAAATTTAATCTATATTCGTTTTGTAATATTTTTGAGTGTAGATAGGGGCAATATGGTCTACACGCTAACTTGAAAGTACTCATTAATGGGTAAAAAAGACCCATTTTGAAGAAAAGTGGCTTAACTCATTAAATGAGTAAACCCAATATTACTCATTAATGAGTATTTGACGCATACTTCAAAAATTGGTATTTTTTAACCTTCATGTTCTTACCGGGGATGAATAAAAAATACCCATTTTTTTCAACAAATTTGCTTTACACGCTAACTTGAAAGTACTCATTAATGAGTAAAAAAAGCCCCATTTTGAAGAAAAGTGGCTTAACTCATTGATGATTAAACAATTTTACCCATTAATGAGTATCTGTTAACAGATACTCATTAATGGGTAAAAAATTTACTCATTTAATGAGTTAAGCCACTTTTCTTCAAAATGGGTCTTTTTCAACCATTAATGGGTACTTTCAAGTTAGCGTGTATGGGCTTCCTGCCGCCTATTATTTAACCGAATATGAAAAGTAGTCAAAAGAAAAACGTATAAGAATCTTTTATATTGTTTTATGTTTAACACTCATATAATCAAATATGTGTAAAAGGTTGTAACCTGTCTGCGAGAAAATGCTGTTCTGGCCTCGGAACCGGCTGTTCGAATTTCAACACAAGTTACCGTCTTCCATTACCGAACCATCCTGATATTCGATGGAATTTCCTAGGGAATTTCACTGGTTCCACGGCTACCCTGTAAAATTTGTTGAAACTCAGTACTGGACATTCACTCGCCAGTCTCCACTAATAGAAGCTAACGTCAATCTCCTGTAGTTTTATTCCGCTAACCTGGAACGGAACCCTAATAAAAAATAACCATAAACGAATGATAACCCAAATCATTGAACTATTCCACAAATGGTTTGGATGACACACAGAACACGTCGTTAAGCAAATTAACCATACAATTTTTATTAGGGAACTGCGAATGGAACTCATCCCACTTCTAACATCGTGAAAATCACCTCGGTTTGCTGTTTTTCGTCGTGCTGCTGCAATAAAGAGATGTCTGTCCGGGGCACTATTTGCATGAACATTTTTTTCACCTGAATTAACACCGGCCAGATGGAATCTGCTAGCACAATCAAACTTCCGTTTGAGCTTCCTTCGCGTTCGTCTTGATCCGTGTTTTTTTTTCGACATGTCACCAAAATGCAAAATAATAATAATGTGTTTATCCCTAGGGGAGAGTACAACTTATTCTGAAGTGATATTTGGTATAAAAATTGCTCAAGTTGGTAGTTATTATAATTTTTAGTATAAATATTAATGATATTAACTGTCAAGCTCAGTGTAACTTTAACGATTTCGACGTCGGCTTTCCATGATAAAAACGGTACTGGACGTTCCCCTAGCAGAAAATCTCTCCAAGTTGCAGGCTCATGGCGAACCGAGCGTAATACCAACAATCAATACGAAACTAACGATTTTAAATTGGCTCACCACTTTAGTAGCCTATTGGTCCCAAGCAAACGATTAACGTACCCTATTCTAGTTGAAATTCTATTACTACACTATGTTTGTTTTGATTCGCTATGAAAGTTTGACAGATAACATCAGGGGTGTGTGGATTCATGCAGAACATGCAGGGGTGAGTGAAATAGCTTGGGACTGCTTGGGACCGTTGTTCTGGTACTGAGTGAGCCAAAAATAATAATGATTTTCTTCGGGACCCAGTGGTCTTAGAGTTACCTCTATGGTAATACCACAAACGAAGTGACAGACGACTAACTGGCGAAGAAATCCATTTAAATAATGTGGTTCACTGTAATAGAATTTTCTTGGAAGCTTGTCCATCATCCACCAGATGGGTTAGTTTTTTTGTTTTGATTTGAACAAAGTTGATTTTGTGTACAATGATTCTTTGACAGTGTGCAAAGAGTGCGTATCATTTTGTTATTTTTTTATGCATTTCAGTTTTGCGTAGAGTGAAAGAGATAGAACCAAAATATTCTAGTACATTGGTGAAAATGCTAGTTCAATCCAATAGTAGTGTTGCCATGTGGTACAATCCATTAGTTGTGGTGTTGCCATGTGGTACACTGAAAAATTGCAATAGAAGGTTAGTCACCAAAGTTTTCGAGCCGCTCCGTCTGTCACTTCGTTTGTGGTAATACCAACAATCAATACGAAACTAACGATTTTAAATTGGCTCACCACTTGACTAGCCTATTGGTCCCAAGCAAACGATTAACGTACCCTATTCTAGTTGAAATTCTATTACTACACTATGTTTGTTTTGATTCGCTATGAAAGTTTGACAGATAACATCAGGGGTGTGTAGATTCATGCAGAACATGCAGGGGTGAGTGAAATAGCTTGGGACTGCTTGGGACCGTTGTTCTGGTACTGAGTGAGCCAAAAATAATAATGATTTTCTTCGGGACCCAGTGTTCTTAGAGTTACCTCTATGGTAATACGAGCCAATTTAAAATCGTTAGTTTCGTATTGATTGTTGATATAATTGCGCCATTTGTGATATCGTCCGTACTTATTTATAAGAGTGATATGAAGCCGTTTGAAAATGTATGGAGATTTTAGTTTCTATTCATTATCTTCCTGATAAGCAGTTTTAAATGCAAAAAAGTGCACGAGTCTAGGCACGAGTTCATTACTATTTTTTGATATTTTTAACACAGACAAACAGACATAACACATTGAATATTTCTCACTGTAAAACATCGTCGCTAAAACATTACCGCAATCTGTTGAGTACACTGTGGTGGGCACTACACTGAACAGATGGCGGTAGTGTGTAAACGTCAAACGCAAGATAATTGACTATGCGCGCCACAGGTGGCGGTACTACCAACTACGATACGTTTAAATTGTCCGTTAAATGCTTGTTCGATGAACAACTTGCGAGTGTTATGTCTGGTTGTCTGTGTTTTTAATATACTACCGTGACGGGCGTGACTGCGTTTTCCGTTGGAGGGAGTGAAGAGAAGCATAAAAGATACAGCAACGCCTCGAGCAGATCCCACTGCAAAAAATATGGCAATTAATTTTGGAGAGAAGGGGGTACGCTGATAAAATGTTTTTATAAATTTTGAATTTTTTTTTCTCAAGCATGTTATAAAAATCTGTATAAATCTGTATTGTAATTTAAAAATCTGTGATAAATCTGTATTCTGTATCGGGTCTGTATTAAGATTAAAAAATCTGTATAATACAGATAAATCTGTATAAATGGCAGCGCTGGCCCAAGCTATTTCACTCACCCAAGCATGTTATAAAAATCTGTATAAATCTGTATTGTAATTTAAAAATCTGTGATAAATCTGTATTCTGTATCGGGTCTGTATTAAGATTAAAAAATCTGTATAATACAGATAAATCTGTATAAATGGCAGCGCTGGCCCAAGCTATTTCACTCACCCCTGCATGTTCTGCATGAATCCACACACCCCTGATGTTATCTGTCAAACTTTCATAGCGAATCAAAACAAACATAGTGTAGTAATAGAATTTCAACTAGAATAGGGTACGTTAATCGTTTGCTTGGGACCAATAGGCTACTAAAGTGGTGAGCCAATTTAAAATCGTTAGTTTCGTATTGATTGTTGCCATTACGGAGCATGAGATTTGATCAAATTATTCGCAGTTCTACTTGTCGAACGCCCCCGGCTGGGTGAGGGATAGAGGATGACACACACACACAGCATTTGAAAACGGCACAAAAGCTTTTGTAAACAAAAAGTGTACAGCCACGTGAACTGAAGTAAGCCCACGTTTTCATTGTGAACATCTTGAAAACGGAGTAACATGAAAATAATGGATCACTGTGTGCTGTCAGTTTTGAGCTCACTTTTCTATCTCGCTTTTTACTAGCTACTTTTACGAATTTTGCTAGCGAGATCTATATAAAATGGCATGACTTACTTAATGCATGCTCACTTATGCTTGATACTCTTTCGACTAGTTTTTTTTTCCATTTCCTCGCCGTGTTTGGCTACACAGAAATCGAGAAACAGCTAATGGCTCATCTCGGCAGCTAATGGCTCATAGGAATCGGGAAATACCTATGTCTTTTATGTCACCAAAAAAAGTCCATCAGAATGTTATTTTTTTAGCTTCCTGGATTTATTATTTTTTTTTCATCTGTAATTTTCTTCCATCTTAGGCCGTAATGTATATTCCAATTCCTCCTGGTTATTTCAATTTTCCTCCGGAACTCCACTCGAATGGTTCTTCCGTCTTCTCCCACTAGTTTTTTCCAACTTCCCCCGAAATATTGTGCTAACTTTCCCAAAGATTCTACCGATTTTCACTGGAAATTTCTTTCGACATCTCCCAAAAATCTCTTTCTTTCGGAATTTTTATCCCAACCCTAATAAAAACAATAACCACACACATTTTATTAGGGTACTTCTCTTAGAAGTTTGTTAAACGCTGTCCAGACTGGAGAGTTATAACATGTTATAACGGTTGTCAACTAATTGCAACACAGAAACCACCATCAAGATAGCGCTATAACATGTTATAACTCTGTAGTCTGAACGTACTATTAGACTGTTCCGAAAACCTTCTAGCTTTCGCCGGAAGAAGCTAACGACTTTCTTCAGAAGTTTCTTCAAAACTACCACAAGAAGTTTTTACCAGCATTTATTTAGAAGCTAATCCAAACATTTTCCGCCAACTTCTGTTGACTTTCCTGGAAAGGTCGGTCTTAAATAGTGGTATGACTCTCAGATTTTATCACCTAAAAAAAGCTTAGCAACAAACTTAAAAATTTAACCACTTTCGAGAAAACCCGGGGCAGCGCTGCCAGATTGTTTTCAAACTTACCGGTATCAACGGTTAAAAAAATCGGTATTTACTATTTTAATTAATTTTATAATTTTGCCTTTTCGAAGGCAAAATTTAAACTTTTGAACTAAAAAGTTAGGGTTATGACTAGCCTATTGGTCCCAAGCAAATCGATTAACGTACCCCATTCTAGTATAAATTCCAGTACTACACTATGAAAGTTTGACAGATAAAATGAGGTGTTAGGGCAGGATCGTGGTTTTCCGATAGGGTATTTCGGGATCACACACAGACACTAGTCACAAAAAAAAAAACGGAACGGCAAAATCAGCGGAGAGCACTCAAGATCACCAAAACTTTATTAAATTGGAAAAACGATCTTTATTTCTTGGCTATTGGAACTTTACTAACTCCTTTTTATTCCCTTGCCTTGTCTATTTAACCCTACGTTGTGTTGGAACATTTAATCTAATCAACTTGTATACAATATTGGCAGTGCAGTACTAGAACTGCCAGCACTACCTGCCTTTATTGGGTAACAACATAGAGGTAACTCTAAGACTAGAAGGTCCCGAAATAACGTGCTCAACTTTTTGGCTCAGCTCTGGTACTCTCTTCGGTCCCAAGCTAATCGATTCACCCCTCGAAACATAGGAAAAACCAATAACCCCTCATTTTATCTGTCAAACTTTCATAGCGAATCAAAACAAACATTGCGTAGTACTAGAATTTCGACTAGAATAGGGTACGTTAATCGTTTGCTTGGGACCAATAGGCTACTAAAGTGGTGAGCCAATTTAAAATCGTTAGTTTCGTATTGATTGTTGATAACAATCAGTTTGAGAACTGTTCAATACGAAACTAACGATTTTAAATTGGCTCACTACTTGACTAGCCTATTGGTCCCAAGCAAACGATTAACGTATCCCATTCTAGTCGAAATTCTAGTACTACGCACTGTTTGTTTTGATTCGCTATGAAAGTTTGACAGATAAAATGAGGGGTTAGTGGATTTTCCAATGTTTCGAGCGGTGAATCGATTAGCTTGTGACCGAAGAGAGTACCAGAGCTGAGCCAAAAAGTTGAGCTCGTTTTTTCGGGACCTTCTGGTCTTAAAGTTACCTCTATGGTATGACTCTAAGATTTTTGAGACTAAACAATCCAGCTCAAGCCACTCCAATACGAAACATCCCTTTACAAAGTGTATGCATCCTTCAAGCTTTTTAAAGATCTTGCAAAGACTTGTGAGAAATTTTGAGGGATGCGTATGCTTAAAAAATGGATTGGTAGACGTCTTGGATTGGTTTGGACTGGATTTTTTAGCCTCAAAAATCTTAGAGATTTTTTTAAAACCGTTGATAACGATAGTCTTGAAAACAATCTGGCAGCGCTGCCCCGGGTTTTCTCGAAAGTGGCATAATTTAAGAATTCAGTGCCAACATTTCAAAGGGGCGTAATTGCTTTTGTAAACAATGGCTTTAGTTGTCAATTTCTCGCAAATAAAATCTCACTCATGACAATTAATTGCACCAACTGGTAGAAGAATGTTTCCTCTACCAGCTAGTATTATTAATTTGGAGAAGTGAGCTTTTCTTTACGAGAAATCGACGGCTAAAGCCATTGTTCACAAAAGCAATTACGCCCCTTTGAAATGTTGGCACTGCATTGATGACCTTTTTTTTCCTATTTATAGGCACAGACCTGTTGGTCCATATTTTATTGATGAGCTTTTGAATGTTTCCGTGTAAACTACAGCTGCTGCAAGGGCACATTACTGTCAAAGGCCATCAGGAGGTTTGTTTATGTTTGTTATCCGTGAATTTGGACTGGGAAACCATCTCGGTGAACAATTGCTCCGTCGTCGACGGAAAAACCTCCGGAACCATGTCGGACCAGTACGATTACGCGGGCAAGGGAAAGCTGAAGCTTAAATCTGACTCGGAGATCAAAAAGAAGAAAAAGAAAAAGAGCAAGGACAAGGACAAATTGCGCGAGAAGGTGGAGAAAAGTTTGGAACAAAGTGGCAGCAGCAGTTCCCAGCAGAGCCAAACTCAGGCTCCTTCCACTGGCAGGGTTTTGACCAAGGCGGAAGAATCGTTCAAAAAGATGCAGGAGAAGATGGTATACGATTGTTTTGGGGCGTATCTTGATATTCTAATAAAATAACCTATTTTCCGTAGCAAAAGAAACGGATCATGGATAAGGCTTCGATGACGCATAAGCAACGGGTAGAACAATTCAACCAACATCTCGACAGTCTGACGGAACATTTCGATATCCCGAAAGTTTCCTGGACGAAATAAGCTTAAGATATTTTATTCGTATAATATAAAATGTATTCAAGTCTATTAATTTAATTTGATTATTGTTTAATGTATTAGAAAATACATTATAATACAAGCCTAGCACGAAAGCTTCAGTTATTGGTTTGGGACATACAACATTCGATCAGATGGCTGCTCTTCTACCAGAGATTTTCTGAACATGACGTTATGAATAAATTATCTCGTAAATTATTTCTTGATCTTAAGAAAAGTTTGAAACTGATAGTTAAGTTTAAGTTTTATGTCGGTTTGTCTGTGTTATTAATGCCAAGATTGAAAAAGCTGCAATTTATTGCATCATTTTTCTAAGATTGATGGGAGAAGGTCATTCCAAAACTGCGCGAATATATGATTAATTCAAGAGCCTCATGTGAAAAGGGCATACAAGCTGATCAATTCACAAAACTGCCATCTACCGCCGTGTTCGCGGAAAGTATTTATCCTAGCCACGAAAACGCGTACAAAATTTATGAGTTGATTCGTGTCTAATCTATTTCGAACAAATTATTTTTATCTAGATAAAACATTTCTATGGTTTTGACTAGAAATACTAGAAGGAGAGATAAGCAGAGAGAATTTTTTGAGGCAAATGAACTGTCAAAATCTGAGCCAAACGAACATTCCCATTAGATTTTTTCAGAGGATTTTTTATTCTTACTAGATTAAATTTGAGAGTATTGCAATCGAACAGAAATTCAATCACCTTTATGTTTCGTGTGCTTCTCAGATTCAACTAGTTTTTGGAATCAAAAGCAATATTCTAGCTCTATTGATTAATTGATCTAAGTTGGTTAATTAATGGCACCAAAAAATGTGGAAAATATTGCGATGCAATCAATTATTAATTTACACGTAAATCGAATCGTAAGTAAAAGTCATCCCGCATAAACGCGAACCATAAATTGACCTTACCAAAAATGGTTAAAAATTGTTTATAATCCCTGCTAAACTTCAACTGAAATGGTTATGGAACTTTACAAGAACGTTTAATGATAAAGTTTTAACCTTATGTATTATGGTTTTTTGGAAGCGGACCTTACAAATAATGAGTTGTTAAGAACCATTACCATTCAAAATTCTTGTTTTCTCCATATATTTTCGGGAAGAGGACTATATTAGAACCTTTTAACTTATGGTTTGAGAACATTAATGGTTATGGTTATGGTAGTCAGTAAGGTCCATGAATAGTTTTGTAACATCGATCAACTTTATGTAAATATATCGCGAATTAGTTGCCTGTAAATTACTGATTACCAATTCACGATATATTCCACGTGAAGTTGAGCGATAATACAAAACCATTAATGGACCTTACTGACTATCATAACTGTAGGAAGTAAGAGCAAGTAAGCTGTTGATAAATAAATATAAAAAAAATCTCGGTTTTGTCCAGTGTATGAATTGAACAACAATTCAGTGCCAACATTTCAAATGGGCGTAATTGCTTTTGTAAACAATGGCTTTAGCCATCGATTTCTCGCAAATAAAAGCTCACTCCTCTAAATTAGCAATGCTATCTGGTAGAAGAAACATTCCTCTACCTGTTGGTGTAATTAATTTTCATGAGTGAGCTTTTATTTGCGAGAAATCCACGGCTAAAACCATTGTTTACAAATGCAATTACGGCCCTTTGAAATGTTGACACTGAATAAGAAAAAGGAGGGTATACTAAAAAAACTCCACACGTCTGATCGATGTGTTTGAACACTTGATATTTCATATGCACAATCACATTTATTTTAAATGTATTTCACCATGGTTCAATGTGTTCTACACGTTGATTTCTTGTGTTTCAAACTATGAAATGTTGATAATCTTTCTCTATCAATTCAAGTGTATTGCACATTGAATCGCACTACTGTTCAAAACAGATGGATTTGAAGTGTTTTGCATTTCAATGCGATGTGAAATGCTTGTTCTGCAAGGTAAACATTGAAAACATGAGTTGTGACTTCATACTTATCAACCAGCCTCATATATGAGAACAACCATGGTCCAGTGAGATCGAACGAAGGCAACTGTAGCAGCACCACCCCAACAGCCCAGGATCAATTCTCAAATCAGACCCATTAATTAAAAGGCATGTGTATGCTCTGCCCTCAGCTTTGTTTATATATTTGTCGATTTAATTTTTGAGTCGGTAAAGTAGAAGTCGATGAAGTAGAATATTGTAGAAAATTGAACTATGATGTGCAAAGCTATTGATATCAGCATGTGAGGCACATAGAATCCAAGTGCGTCACAATTCGAGCCAATAGTTTTGAGGCATGGTTGAAAGCATAAGATTCACACATGAAATGGATGTGTTTCACAATAAGTGCAAAATTATGTGTGAGGCACATGATGATGACGTGTGAAATTTTTTGAGTGTATATGTAAAGCCCTACACGGAGATGAAAAACTACCCAAAATTAAGTACTTTTCCCTCAATTCCGGGGTTCAGCCCAATAACCCAAATTTGAGTAAATAGCATACACTGAACGAATTTGACATATTCCTGTTATGTGGAAGTCTAATAAATTTGCGCTATAAGATAATCCATTGAAAATGATATGATTGAAAATGTGTCAGGTAAATTCTATATGAATATCTGATACATTTACAATGCTGATAATTTGGTAACTTTTATATGATCGTCATATGATAAATGAAAATCGATTAAATTATAATAATTAACTGAAATGGATTTGAAACCCATAAGCATAAGCTATACTTTTCACCACAATATAATATATGTGTCATAAATCAATCGAAGTAAAGTTTATGTGAAAATAACATGAAATTTACTTCTTTTTTTGACACATATATTTAATCGATTTCTAAAAATAAATTCGAAAAATAAACATCAGGCAGTGGGAGCTTTCACAGTTGTGCCTTTTTTTTTATTGTAGCTGATTTGGGATTCGATCAAGATCTGTTGAGGTGTGATGCTTTCGGTGTCTGTGCTCGATTCCACTGGGCCACGGCTGACTTCAAGATTGAGCTCGTTCAAATAGCATGAAGTAAGAACAGCTCTCCCGACATGGAATGTAGTGCAACTTTATGCTCGTTTTGCTAGAGTGAAGACAAATAGCACTGACAAATTTATGTTCCGTTTCGGTGGTGTGGTTTGTTCAAATCTTTCTTAATGCACCTGTGTGCAATAAATCAACGACTAAATTATATGATTTGATAGAACTGGCTCATGAAGTTCGAGTACTACTTAGGGCTGGAATCTGAATTAGCCGTTAAGGCTTACAATTAGAATCATAGCAAAGTAAATATTACAGTAGAATCATTTTTTTTTTTCAATCTCAATACATTCTTTTCTGGAACCAATTATCATATGAATGAGTGTACGTTAACATCGTTGAAAATTGTTTCAATAATTTATAAAGAACAATCATGTAAGATGTATTTTATTGGGAGCGATATTCATCCCAGAAAAACATGCAAAAACAAATGCTTGCTGTTGGATTTCTTAAAAGGCATTTCTATATGACTATTTAATGATTGGGATAGATCTGTTTACAATCTTTAAACGTCAAAAATCAAAGCAAGCTATTACAATGAGATATACATGTTTTCCTATACTGCAAAGTTAAATGACAGTCCAATAGTTTCTACATGTCTATTTACACGCGACATATCAACAAACGTCAAAAATCAGTAAAAGCAACTCCAATAAAATATACATGATTATCTTATAAGATATATATTTTAGTGAGCAATATTCATCATGAAAACAGGTATATTTTACTGAATTTTCTCATAGTGCAAACTTATATGATTTTCCATTAGTTTCTAGATGTCTGTTCCCACCCACACAGCAAAAAAAGTTGTTGAATATTACATCGAAACTGCTGCAACCAGGTCAATCCATCGGTTGTGTAATATCACATTGTACGATGTACATCGATTTTGCGAACAAAATTACATCCATTGATGTAATATTGTATCTGCGTTTTGCTATTACATCATTATTTCATACATCAGCTTGAATTACGTTGATCGATATTACATTTTTTTTTGCTGTGCATGACATATCAACAGTTTTTCACCATGAAATATATCAGACAATATTCATATACTTCTTACCTTCGCTAACCACGTTCGAAGCAAAGTATTATCAAGTACTAAGTATGTGAAATTACGATAGAAATCATTCCATATCGCAGTCATAGTTTTTAAGTGATAATCCAATGGAATCTATCAATCATCACATAGAATGAATAAATATGCTGACATTGCTATGTTATAAGATGGATCCAATAAACGATACATGTCGATTTGTTTCAGTGTATAGTAGTTTCCATTTAACACCAGCAAAAAAAATTACCTACTCTTAAGTATATTCTACCCAAAATTAAGTTTAATTCACGTAAATTTGAGAATATGCATTTTACTCAAAAGTAGCTTATTGGGCTGAACTATTCGTTGGGTCGAATCTCTTGTTCCTTTTTTGACAACAATAACGAGTGCAAGTGAGAGGCTGAAGTCAATATTAAGTAAAAAGAACTCAAATTTTGGGTAGTATTTTTTCTCCGTGTACAGTAAAAGTATGGACGTCTGTCAAAAGTTGTTCCAATCGAACCGTCAAAATGCACCGCTTTGCTCGATTGGAACAGCTTTTTTCAGTTTTGTGGTGACAGTCGTCCATACTTTTACTGTAGGGCTTTAGTCCATACTTTTACTGTAGGGCTTTAGTCCATACTTTTACTGTAGGGCTTTAGGTATATGAAGTACAATGCAGTTTCCAGTGAGTTTTCCGACGAATCTATACACGAGCGGTTGAGATGTCGAAGAGGAGCGTTTTCAAGGGTAAAATTGGCCTGAGGTCCGGCTCCAGGCCTGGTCAGCCTGGACGGCCCGGACACGACAATAATCATAACCATTAATGTTCTCAAACCATAAGTAAAAACGTTCTATTATAGTTCTCTTTTCGAAAATGTATGGAGAAAACAAGAATTTTGAATGGTTATATTTAATAAATGATACTTGGAAAAGAGTCTGGCGATTTTATCTTTATTATTCGTATATTGG